TATTATTCACCTTCCATGCTCCATTCCACAAGAGAATCAGACATAATCATCACTAAATAAAAAGAATACATATGTATAACTGAGTCACTCTGCTGAATAGCAGAAATTAAACACAATATGTAAGTCAACTATACATCAACAACATTTTTGAAGAAGTAGGCATGTGTCTCATTCATATCTTTTTATTTTTGCTACATGTTTTTGTAACCACAAACAATGTATCATATTTTCTGTTTAAAAAACATGTTCCAGTTCTTACTTTAGTAATCTTCAAAAAAAAAAATTTTTTTTTCAAGAAAATTTAAATGGAGAATTCTAAACCCTCAATTTTCCTAAGAAAATTACATGTTTTTCCCTTGAAGGGATCTTACAGTCTCAAAGTGTGCAGGTTTGGTTTTTTTGTTTTCAAGTTACTATTTTACCTCTCTTCTGTAATGCCCTGAAACATAAAGTTGGCTTACCTTTCTCTGCCCTAAGTGGCATTTATATTTAGTGCACTGTGTTTTAATGGTTTAGCATTTTTCTGTCAATTTCATTGACGTCCACACTGAGAAAGCTGCTGAGCAACAGAGTAGAATTCCAGAAGAACTCAGCCCATCAGGTCTGAAAACCATGCCACCAGGGTAATAAAACAATTAAGAGTGCCCTGAAGGGGAAGATAATCCTGACAATTCAAGTTAAACCTGAATGCCAATTAGGACTCCTAATTTCCTAGCTTCAATATGAAGTTCAAAAATTTAGTTCTAGCCATTCCTAACTCAAATAGGCATATTTTTCAGATGGACTTGATAAGTTCTAAGATTTAAAAACCATTTAATGAAAACACTGCACAGGAGATGCATTTATTATTCACCTTCCATGCTCCATTCCACAAGAGAATCAGACATAATCATCACTAAATAAACAGATGGCAATGGAATGATGAAGGAATAACGCTATTAGACAGCATCCGGACTCAATGTGAGAATGTGAGTACACTTGGAAGCCTGGCATGCTCTGGTCCATGGGGTCACAAAGAGCTGGACATGACTTAATGACTGAACAACAACAATGGAATTATAAGCCATTTCCATGAACTAAATGAATAAGCTAGTGATTTTTAGAGGATGACGGGAAAATAACTCCAATACTAAATTCTAGGCTGTTCGCATATGAAACAATATATGCTCTAAAAGCCCCCTTTTCAGTATGTAGTTTAGAACTCTGGAGGTTGTTTTCTCACAAAAACATCATTACACATTACAGTCAGCTTCCAGGAAAATCCACAAGAGACTAACCCGTAACATGGCAGGTGGACTATAGAATCCACTGGGCAGCCTTCTCAGCATCCAGTGGCCAGGACTGCAGGTGGTGTCAGTTCTGGAAGCTCCAGGGAAACAGGCTGCAGCAAGCAACGTTCAGGAGGAGACGGCCTGATGGCCGGGCAACAGAGCCAGCAGGCCCAGCAGCTGACACCGACACCTGTGGGCTACTGTATTAAAGCACTGCTCGTGCTGAAGAACGTCCCCAAACCAGCCGCAACTGCAGCTCCTTCTCTAAGTCCCTGGGAGTGATTCCACAGGCATGCCAGGCTGCATCTGCAAGAACAATGTTCTCAGAAGTCCCGGAGCCAGACGCAGAATTCCATGGGCCTCGTTTCCACCCGGTTTTAAATTAGTATCTTCAAAGGCCCTTTGTGTCCAAAACGATCAAAACAGATGATCACAGAATAAATATAAGAAAGTGTTTTTCTTTCTGTTTTTGAGCAGTTAATGTATACAGCTATGTTCAGAATTTTGTATACATGAATAAACACAGTTCAACAAACACATATATTAAAAATCTTCAAAGTTTTATTGGAAAAAATAGATGAAAATTCAAATATGAGAAGAGGCATAGTGAATAAACCCAAGTGTCAAGATGGAAATACATTTTTTTAAATGTGAGTAAACTGAGTGGAATTAGAATCTTAACTTCTCAAAGGACATTTTAATACAACAAAACAATTCTAAAATTTCTTTGAAAAAATTAAGAGGCATGAATAGCAGAAAAACTACCCAGATAAGGACAGAAATTATAACATATTATAAAGTATATATTATATATAAACTATAAATATTCTAGGACTGATGATGAAGCTGAAACTCCAATATTTTGGCCACCTGACGTGAAGAGCTGACTCACTGGAAAGACCCTGATGCTGGAAAGACTGGGAGAAGGAGGAGAAGGGGACGACAGAGGATGAGATGGCTGGATGGCATCACCGACTCAATGGACATGCATCTGAGCAAACTCCGAGAGACAGTGGAAGACAGGGAAGCCTGGCATGCTGCAGTCCATGGGGTCACAAAGAATTGGACACAACTTAGCAACTGGGTAACAACATCAACATAATACAACAAGCATTAAAACTGTGTGATATAAGCACAAAAGTAGAAATACAGAGTCCTAGACCAAAGTAAGAAGCCACGAAATAGACAGGACTTTTTTTTCTGGGTAACCTAAGTTTCTTCAAAAGGGAGGTGGTGGGAAGGTTTATGCTAATGGTATACCAATGTGGGGAAAAATTAAATTAGATCTATACTTTATGTACCAGTGAACCTCAGAAGCATGAAATATTTCAAAATGATTCCAGAGGTGTACCCATGCATTAACAATGATACTGAAAACCAGTACAAGCTGCTTATAAAATTCTGTAACAGTAAACACAGTCATCATCACAAGGGCACCTCCCTCTGACCTAACTGAGGGAGTCGCAGCCAGCACAGAGGTCTCTGCTGCACAAGGAGACACATCCCTTGCCTCTCATCATGACCCCTGCACCGCCCCCGCTGCCTGAAGCAACAGCAGCAGGACCCTCACCTGAGGTCCTGACAGAGGACAGACAGGTGGTCTGGCTGTGGTCCAGATCTAGTTACAGAATTTATTTGCAGCATCATCTGTCAACTGTGTGCCCTCCAGTTACCCCTGTTGTTCACAAAGGGCCTGTGTGTGTTCCCAGATAGGGGCTGCCACTGAAGAGCCTTACATGGTGGTGTCTTGTCTGCCAGCCAACTATCGTGACTTTCTGGGCCCAGGGCAGAGACAGCTTCTCACCATGATTAACAGCGCTGCCTGGCAAGCACTGCTGCCCTTATTGCCAGGGACCCTGCCCTGGCTGCAAAAAAACAGGGAATGCTGCTTTGGTGATGGTCACCAGGCTCTCACTGCATCCTCTGTTTGGGCTGGTCACCTACTATTGCTGACCTTGGGCCTTCCTGGCCAGTTCCAGGGCACCAGCTATCTCCCAAGCTCCACTAACCTTGAAACCAAAAAATACTGAGAGTGAAAAGTGATGGAGACATCAATGGCTAGATGCATGGGTGGACGATTTGGAGATGGTCCGTGGGCGGGTGCTCCCTCAACTGGTTTTAGAATGTCTCCAATGGACTCTACGCACTTCCTAAGAAAGCATGATCACCTCTGTCCATGCTCCATGTACTCTGCTTCTAAGTTAACTCCTTGCAACTGATTTCTTGTATAATTTCACTAACACCAATAAACTAGACGCTTTCCAGACCCCATCTGTACAATTCCTATATCACAGATACAACATTATAGTATGTAAGCATGAAAAACTATAACTATAAAAACTATGTATAATATACCAAAAAGAGCTTAAGATATAATGTCGACATCTTCTCTTCCTTTCCTTCTTGCAAAGTTCAGCACAAAAGCCATTAGACAGGGCCGGACAAAGCAAGCATCAGACTGGGAAAGGAAGGCAGCTTCGGCGCGAGGTGAGGAAGGTGTCTGCACTAGAAGGGTGGGCAGTGGTGGGGCGCAGAAGTGTGACGCCCAGCGTGGGGTGTCACAGCCTGGGCAAGAAGAGGAGGGTCCTAGAATGAGGGGAGGGCAGAAGCGATAGGATACTGCTTCCATAACGGGAGTCCAGTTCATCACTGTCAGAAAAGGGGCTACAAGTAAGGAGAAGGAGAAAACTAGAAAGAACTCTAAGGTACTGGGTTGGAATTGGAGGCATCGGTACAAACTCCTGGTTAGAAATACAGATACTGAAATACAGATATTTCAATATATCAGTATAAACAGATACAGAAGTATAGTTGTATATGTTATACACACAGACTCATTTTCCCTAACTCTGATGTGAGCAGCAACACTTCAATGAGCAATGAGCATATCCACTGCCTAGATCTTGGCTTCTAAATCCCACTCTCCACTAAAAGGAAGCAGAACTGGCTGATTCCAGCAAAGTAAAAGATGAGCCTGGAATACCTCATTTGTCAGAAAGTAAGGAAGTAATCACAGACAATAGGGACAAACAAAAAGAACACAAAAAACAACTTGAAAGAATTCCCACTAGCCAAATCCAGGACAATTTGGGCATCAAAATAAGCAATAATAGACAATGACCAAACTTACCAATAAAATAGCAACACATGTAACCTCGCTGATTTAAATAAATCAATAAATAAATAGCAATAAAGGAAAGCTCTTTCTTACAGTAAAAAGTCAACTGATAAGTGTAGAAAGAAGAAAATCGCCACATGGCAGCCATCATAGTAACTCAAATATCCTGAAAAAGTCCTTGCAAACTTTCTGTAACACAGAAATCACTTCAAAACAAAAAAAGATTTTATACAAGATCCTGTGTGCTATAGTTATAATTGGTCATAAAAAGAATATAAATAAGGTAATAAAATTATTAAAAGAAGCCATTGTGTTAAGGTCTTGCACCTGAAGGGCACTTTTTTAACTTAATATAATTTCTTTAAAGTCATAGTTCCATAGTAGCAGTAACTTTTAAGCCACAACACAGAAGTTTAACTCAACAAGACGACGGGCATTTTATAAAGAAATACTCTAGCAAAACAGAAAAGAGCCTAATGAAGCTAACAGTCTTCATCCTTTTTATACCTAAACAAAATAATTAGTCCTAGGATGCACATGTTCCCCATTACCTAGCCAGCTTGTTTTTAAGAAAAGACATGTACGAAGAACTGAGACCCAAAAGCCAATACCTTGACTGAGGTGTGTGGCCTCCACGATCTGAACGCCGTTCACAGAGCACTGGGACCCACTCAGGGGGATCAGGGTCACCGTACCCCCAACGTTCTCAAAGATGCAGTGCTCACTCTCCAAGTCGAGGCCGTGAAGAACTGAGACGGGAAAACAAAGGAAGAAAATATGTCCCTTAGCACCTGGCGCAATGATTCCCAACCTTCATTTATTTTCTCAATTTGAACTGTGAGGGGAACACTTCTGTTTAGTGAGAAAATTGAACTTCAGGAGTTCACAGCATCAACTGACAGAATCAGCTCTTACATGTCACTCAGTGGGGCTGGATATCACCAGAAACAAAGGACTTCATCTTCAGGAAAAAAACAGCTGAGTAACGTGACTTAGCTGATTACCACTGAGACGCTTTGCTCGAGTCTGAATGAACTTCCTCCTCCAGTTACCCGAAGGTCCCAGTAAAATGGAAGGGGCAGATGGCCCCAGGGTTCCAGGACTTACTGTGACCTCGACTCTTACTGACGCTGCATTCCTGGAGCACAAACCAAAGGTGAAAGATGAATGTGGGAGGGCATGGATCTTGGGAGGCCCAAGAAGTCTCCAGAAGTCCTGAGGTGAACTTGACCTCCACAGAGCTCTCAGAGCATGTGGCTGCCAAGGGCTACCTACTCCCACCCAACCACCCTCCTGGTGACACATGGCCAGGCAAAGACATGAACACCGGTCACACAAACCTACGCAACTTCAGGCACAGTTCCTGGCCAGCTGCTCAGAAGCACAAACCAAACTGCTTCCACTATGCTCCCCAGACCTACACTGTGAATAGAACTTTTCTGTTTACAGAAAACACGTGTGCTGGGCACTTAGCATCACGTACAACAAACCCAAGGTCAGCACATAACTTAACAATGAGAAGAGGAGGCCTGATGGCTAGTTTCACCCAGAGACTTCCAGGAATTGGTTTCCAGTTCTCCCAAGTTCACGATAAACAGTAAATACACGTAGACTTGATTAACAGCTTACACTGGGCAAGAAAGCAAGTTCATTGCCAGCATTTCTAAAAGCCAGCTGGAAAGATACAATTCTTCCCCTGCCAATCCCCACCTTGCCCACTCCACCACACAAATAGACACACATTCCACTATCACCACATGCACGCTCTAATTTACTCTAGAAAGCCTGGCAAGACCTCACCGGGCTCAGGGATTATAGCACTGGTTAGCCGGGTACCTCACAGAGACTGTGGGAAAAGCCAGGAGATGCTGCTCTGTGTGTGTGAATGCTGGGCATGTGTGTATCCTACTTTCTGTCCTTGCCTATGTGCACTACGCGCCAAGTGTGAAGGATTTCCCATCAAAGGATCTTGTATCTTTTATCTGTACCTGTTAGGATGTCTCCACTGCGACAAGAGGTAAGTGGTTTAAAGCACAGCCCACCTGAAAGACGTGGCTGAGGACAGAAGGCACGTGGGGCGTGGGGAGAGGAACCGCAGCTCCATTCTAGTCACTAAACTAAGCGTTCAATGTTGGTCATTTGAGCTGAGTTCAAAATTATGGAAATACACATTCTGATCAATGCTGCAATTGAAATGTTTCCTTTTTTATAATTACTTCAAAGTCAGTCATTCAAAAGCAAGTTCATTAAATGATTTCTTAAAAACCACTGGAGAGAGGAAGCTGATAAAGATTCTCACCAATATCTTGTTCTGTCGAAGCATCTTCTCTGCCGACATGTGTCTGACCTTCCTAGGGAGAAAAGCCAAGCAAAATTTATTAGTAAGAACATGAAGAACGGTCTCTTCTCCATCTTTTGTGGAAGCCCCAGAAACCTGCTGACAGGTGGGCGAGCTCTGGCTCAGGCAGAGTCCCCTGAGGCTCCGTAAGCACAGTGCATGGTGTCCAGAAAGGGACACAGGACTCCTAAGGCTCAGGGCTCAGCAAGACTGGCCTCCTGTTTCGGCACCAGTAACCTGCCCCTGACTACAATTCCACGGCTATTCACAATCCTTTCCAACAAATCTCTCCTCCAGCGGCCAGGGGTTTCTTTGTGTCTAAAGATATGGTTTAGGGGAGCCCGCAAAACACAGTATGATACTCTTTCCATTGTAAGTCATGGATCAGAGAAAAGATACTGAAGTCAAGGTTACAGAGCCCATCGCTGATGCAGATGAGGAAATCCTTATGTTGTGAAAGGGCTACTCTGTTTGGCAGCAGGCCCAATAATGTAGGCGAGACCTGGTGGTTCAAGAATCTGCCTGCAACACAGAGGGGCCCTGGTTCGACCCCTGGGTCAGGAAGATCCACTAGAGAAGGAAATGGCTACCCACTTCAGTATTCTTGCCTGAAAAATCCCATGGACAGAGGAGCCTGGTGGGCTACAGTCCAAGCGGTCGCAAAGAGTCAGACATGAGTGAGTGACTTTCAGACACAACTTCATAATCAACCTGAGGGACTGGAAAACTGTACATACAAGCAGTCGCAGTTTAGGTGCTGGTAGCTTTTCTCCCTAAGTCTGTCTTTTCGTTCCTTACCTCCCTCTTACTGGCTCTACAGATTAGAAGGCAAAGGGAATGGATCTTCATTTAGCTGTAGGATGACATAAAACAGGAATTCCTAATACCAGAGAATCCCAATGAACCAGTGAAAATCCCCAAAGAGCTTGAGGATTTGTTGTACATTCTTTACTGTCACAGCGTGTTCATGGACACGGAGTATTACATTACACCTTGCCAGTGTCCAAGGGAAAGCTGAAACCAAACTGAAAAGGTTCCAGGCAAGCAGTTTCTACCTTCAAGTGATACAGGATCATGCCAGTGCTCAGGAGGTCATCATATATGCCGATCAGATGGGGCAGCTCGGAGTCCAAAACAACCCCAATCCCTTCCTTCCTTAGGGCCAGAGTCTGTTCCTGGAATTAGGAGGGAAAGAAAAGAAAGAGGTTACTTTGAGAAAAGAAAGAGGTTACTTTGGGAAAAGAGAACTTCCTGTGAGGTGCTCATTAGACTTTACACAGGTTTCTCCACTGGGTCAGTGGTCAAGAATCCACCTGCAGTGTAACAGCCGAAGGAGACAGGGGTTCGATCCCTGGGTGGGGACGATCTCCTAGAGAAAGCGACAGTAACCCATTCCAGTATTCTTTTTTTTTAACTCCAGTACTCTTGCCTGGGAAATCCCATGGACAGAGGAGCCTGGCAGGCTACAGTCCACAGGGTCGCAGTCAGACTGACAGCAGGAGCATGAGCATGCAAGTGTTAAAAATGAGCGATGTTTTTACTGCTCATGAAAAAAACTGCAAGAAAAAAGGATCATAAACTTCATGCTGAAACCCTGGCATATGGTGGCAAAGAGAGCTTGGAACATATAAAAAGCTCAATATAAAATGAATTACATTTATTGTCAGATAAAGATTCATATACATATGTATAAATGCACATACACACACTCACACGAAGCTAAGCTCAAATCTTGCCTTCCTGAGGAAGGGGTCCAGGACCAGTCAAATATAAGATAATCTTTCTCCCACTTCAGAACCTTTATTTCACTTAATACCTAGATGTCTCCTGATTCGCTGGCTCTTCTTGCTGGTGACTAGGGTCAAACTCCGCATGTCTATGACAGCAACCCCTTCCTGGGCATTATCTCCCACGAACCGGAGGTGGCTAACCCTCGGAGCCCTGCACCACCTTCTACCCACTGACCATCCCCACCTGCTAAGGGCTCCCACCAACCACCGCCACCACTTCCCTCGGCCCTGCACCGCCCTCCAGCCACCACCACCTTCTCCATGCCCCGTCAGAGGAAGTCGCCTCCAGAACTCCCTACTTGTGGTCCCCCAGTTCCTCCCTATGACACTCTCCAGTGCCGTGGAGTCTGTGATCCCAGGGACTCAACTGTCTCCTGAAGTTACCAGCAATCTACAGTCATCCCTGTATATCCTAGAGGGGGCTGGTTCCAGGACCCCCTCGGATACCAAGACCCAAGGATGTTCATATCCCTTATGTAAAAACACATGATTTGCATATATTCTACACACATCCTCGCTTTTACTTTAAGTCATCTTTAGATTCCTTATAATACCTAATACAATGTAAATGCTACGCAAGTCACTGCAAACATAATGAAAATGCTATGCAAATATTTGCTGCAGCAAGACAAGTTCAAGTTTTACCTTGGGGAACTGTCTGAAATTTTTTTCCCCCAAACATTTCCGATAAGCGGTGGGTTGAATCCATGGATGTAGAACCTACACACACAGAGAGCTCAAGTGCATGCTAATGATGCTCAAACCTCAAGTTAAGGGGAAGGCAGACCTCTCCCTTAAAACTCGCCCCTCATGTGTACAAACCTCCCTGCCTCGATATACCTGTGGCAACGCCAAGCAGGCAGCTCAAACTTAACACCTCAAAAGATCAATCCTGGATTCCCACGGCCTGCCACATCTGCACACCAGCCCTTCTCAGTAAATGCCAATCTTCCTTACAGTTGCTTGGGCCAAAAACTAGGCTGTCCTACTGTTTACAACAGCCAAGACGTGGAAGCAACTGAATGTCCAGTGACAGAGGAATGGATTATGGAGATGTGATACATATATCATGGACTAGAATGAAATCAAGCCATTTGCAGCAACATGGATGGATCTGCTGCTGCTGCTGCTGCTGCTGCTAAGTCACTTCAGTCGTGTCCGACCCTGTGAGACCCGACAGACAGCAGCCCACCAGGCTCCCCCGTCCCTGGGATTCTCCAGGCAAGAACACTGGAGTGGGTTGCCATTTCCTGCTCCAATGCATCAGAGTGAAAAGTGAAAGTGGAGTCACTCAGTCGGGTCCGACTCTTCGTGACCCCATGGACTGCAGCCCGCCAGGCTCCTTCGTCCAGGGGATTCTCCAGGCAAGAGTACTGGAGTGGGGTGCCGTTTCCTTCTCCAATGGATGGATCTAGAAAATATTATACTAGGTAAAATGAGCCAGACAGAGAAGGAGCAATATCATATGACATCCCTTACATGCAGAATCTAAAAAGAGAAGATATAAACGAACTTATTTATAAAACAAAGATTCACAGACTTAGAGAACAAGCTTATGGCTGCCAGGGAGAAGGATAGGGAGAAGGGATAGTTAGGGAGTAACTAACACTACACATACACTACACACTGCTGTATTAAAATGGATAACTGACAAGGACCTACTGTATAGCACATGGAACAGTGCTCAATGTTATGTGGCAGCCTGGATGGGAGGGGAGTTTGAGGGATACATGTGTGTGTGTGGCTGAGTCCCTTTGTTGTTCACGTGAAACTAACACAACATTGTTACTGAGCTATACCCTAATACAAAACAAAAAGTTGAAAAAAAAAAACAGCTTTCCTTTCCGCATGCCTTTCTCTAAACCCTTCAACACTCAGTATTGAGTCTAGCTTCAAAATATGCACGCAATCCAACAACAAACCACAGCAGCACACTGCTCCCTGGCCCCAAGCACCCGCAGCTCCAGCCAGATGGCCGCAGTCATCCTGGCTGCTCCAGCCCGGGCCCAACCCAGGAATCCACGCTCTCCTCTGCAGCCAGAGCAATGTTAGGGCAGGCCCCTCCTCTGCTGGGGTCAATTATGCAGCCTCCTGTGCTCTGTCAAAGCCAAAATCTTTGCAAGGTGCTACAAAACTCCGTGTGACCTCACTTCTCCCTGACCTCCTGCCACTCGCCCCCAGCACCCTCCTCCCCGGGAACCCCAGCTCCTTGCTGCTCTCCAAACCTGCTCCCACCTCAGGGGTTCCTAAGGGGGTTCCTTTTACTTTTGTGGCCACTGTTCCCTCTGTTCTTATTTACTCTTTCCCTTTCCCGACTAGGTTTTCCAATCCTGGCAGCACTGACATTTTGAACCAGATGCTTCCCGGCATGCAGGGCCGCTCTGTCCACTGTTGGAGCCTTGGGAGTGTACCTGGTCTCTGCCCTCCAGGTGCCAGTGAGCCATATCCCTCCCCAAAGGCTGTGAGATGTCCCCAGACGTGGAGAAATGTCCCCTGGGGGACGAAATCTGCCTCAAGAGACTGAGGCAGGAGAGACTTGCCTTCAATGCACACAAAATGTGGTCCTCACTGCCTCAGGGCTCTGCTCCAAAGCCTCCTTCCCCACCACCCCATTCAAGACAGCAGTCACTAATCTCCTATCCTGAGTTGTTTCTCTCTTAGCAGTTACCACTCTCTGCATGTTATATAAGAGCTTATACCTTGTCTCCCAACTAGAATGTAACCCAACACCTAATTTCATCTCTGATACAGAGATGCTCCTCAGCGAGGATCTGTCAAATGAGCGAATGAGTGGGCAGACACTCGGAGAAAGGCAGGCAGGAGGGTCTCGGGGATGAGACTGGGAGGCCCCCAGGCCCACCTGCCCTGAGACAGCAGACTGGAAACCCAGGCTTCAGGGCACAGGGGGAAAGCGGACAAACTCCAGCAGAGTGAGGTGGAAATACCAGCCTGCAGGCCGGGCTGGGCTGATGAGACTGCGCCCCATCCCAAAGCATGACACCAGGCTCAGTGGCCACAGGCCGACGGGAGCCGTGGAGGAGCCAGTCCCGTGCTGTTGATGGGGGCCCTGGGGCAGAGGTGCTCTGAGTGAACACCTCCCTCACCCCCTTGTGCGGCCAGACATGCTGAGCACACTCCAGTTCTGGACTCCGAAGCCCAGCACAGCCCGAACAGAGCTGGCACTCCTCACATCCCTGGATCGAATAACTGCATCCCGTGTCATTTAAATATTGCATCAGAGCCTCCACCACACGCGTGCGGAGCTGGAGTCAGGCCAGAGAGTGACAGAGTAGAGTGGAAAAAAATGATGGTTAAAAAAAAAACAAAAACATAAAAATCACCACTTGAGAGAAAGCAATTTAATTTAACAACCATTAAATAGATACGCAGAGGAAATGACCAATGCATAACTTAGATTCAAGAAAAGGAAATGAAGCGTATCATTGTTCTTCAATTACTCCTCTTATCAACCGGGCTCCCTCACCAGGCCCAGAACATCAGGCGGAGAGGCCGGGACTTCGTCTTCCCAATTCACCACACCAAGGCCCTTGCAAATCCTGGCTGAAATGAACCCTCAATATACTGACCCCAACTCCTGCTTCTCCGGCAGAATTCATGTTTTTTCTCTTGCCCATAAAGTGGAAAGTCTGTGATTTTTTTTTTAAGATATATATATTGCAGTGGAGAATTTAATCATACAGCCTCATTTCGTAAAACAAAGTTCTCGCCGGCAGGCTTGGTAGCTGTGAAGTGTGACGCCACTGCACACAGGGCAGGCGGCTCCCGGCCATGGGCTGTGCCCGGCCGCCAGGCTCATGTGGAAAGGAGAGGAAAGACTGCTCTCGGAGGTCCAGGCACAGTATTACCCTTCTCCATCAAAGTACACAATAGCCGAAAAAGGAGAGCGGTGGCGGGGGTGTTTTAAACTCTTACAGCTTCCCCTCACTCAAACTAGAGAGTGTTTAGGATACATCCCGGCGTAGTTTAACATTCTGTTTTTTAACCCACTGAAAAACACGTTCTTTTTCCCTCCTTAAAATAAGTCTCATACATAGATTTTAAAAATCATTTTAAATTTGTAACTTCAGAGCCGTTAAGTCAAAAGCATTACTTGTCTCATCCCCAGCACATGCGCTCACACACACACATACATGCACATTCTTTCTCTCTCTCATACACACACACATTTTCTTCCACACATAGAAGGGGTAAAACCTGAATTAACAGAAAGTCTCTGAGGATCGGGGGTGGGGGCAGATGAATTTATGATTAACACTGCCCTAAAGCTCTATGACATTCAAGCTGCAGTCACTATATGATATTATAAAAGTGTCACCTCATAAAACTAAAAACGAGGGTTTAAATTATTGCTTGAGTGAAAAAGT